TTTCTGCACAGGGCGTCGGCGAGAAGTGCACAGGCGTCCTGGACCCGCAGCTCCTCGCGGCTCCCCGCACGCACGATTAAGAAGACACTTGACGCCCAGGAAACGGACGAACCTTACCTCGCTGCGCGCCAGGTGCGCAGGTCCGCAGCGCGGGAGACAGCCTCGGCGGAGGACGCGCGGCCCCGGCCCCGCCCCCAGGGCAGAATGCCCCGCCTGTCCAACCAGGCCGCGCCCCAGCACACCAGGCCCCGCCCCCTGAGTGTCCCGCCTGTCCAACCAGGCAGCGCCCCAGCACACCAGGCCCCGCTCCCTGAGTGCCCCGCCTGCCCAACCAGGCCTCTCCCACGCAGAACAGGCCCCGCCCCTCCCTGCAAGCTCCAGCCAACCCAGCCAGGCCCGCCCCTCCGACTTGTTCCGCCCAACTAACATCAGGCCACGCCCCCAGAACCCACCCACTCGCGGATCTCGGTCGCTGCCCACAGTTGAATCGAAGCAGCCACCGGAGCCGGGAGCCCGGTGCATTGTGGGCCGCCGCAGGCCAACGCCGAACCTGTGCTGACCCCTGGCGGGCGCTGCTGCAAACGACACCCAGGAAGAATGATGGAAGGATGACATCCCTCAAAATGCATATATTCACGACCTAGTTGTTCAGTGGTAACTTCCTTTGTGCTGCCACTTAAAGATAATAAAAAATATAACTGAAAGGGCCAAAGACCGCCGGAGACAACCCCGGGGTCTCTTATCCAAGTTCAACGCAAGAAATGCGTCTGTGGCCAGGCTTTGCTCTCTGCACCTTCCGGGTAAGGGTGTCTGCGAGGCGCATCATTAACAGAGGGATTTAGGCACGTGAAGAAGACTGGCAACCTTGCAGACACTCCCCAGACTTATTGCACGGCTGGACAAATCTGAGGGCTGAGACAAACCCCCCCCAATAGGAAATGGCTTCCCAGAGCTGAACGCCAGCGAAGCCCACTGGACTATCTTCCTGCGTCTAAGTTCACAAGGGTTCGGTGTGGCTGTAAGGAGAAGCACCTAGGAGCCTTGAGAACTAGGCCTGTCAATAAGTTCCCAGGCCTCCGTAGGTTTAGAGATAGCAGATGAAAAGGAACCACTAGGCACTGTAAACACCAGGTCATCCTGCAGCCCCCAAGCTTTGCCAGGTACACTTGCCACATGCAGGTTCGCAGTCCATGCATCACTGCTAACTGAATTTACTGAGGAAGGAAAGCACGTGGCTGAGTGTGGAAGTGCATGCCTGTAATACCAGCAATCAAAAGGTAAAGGCGGGAGGCCAGTGTTTAAGGCCAGGCGAGGCCACATAGCAAGACTGTCTCAACAAAACAAACAAGATCAAAAAAAAATAGGAGAAAAATCTCAGCATTGTTTTAGTCTTTTTTGTAGTACTTGAGTTTGAACTCAGGATTTCCCTATCGCTAGGCAAATGCTCTACCATTGAGCCATCCCTCTAACCCTTTTTGCATTGGCTATTTTCAGGATAGGGTCTCACTTCATGCCCAGGCAAGCCTGGACTTCAGTCAATCCTCCTTTGCGGTTTTTCCACATTGCCAGGGTGACAGGCCTGTACACCATGCCCCACCACTTGTGGAGAAGAGGGCTCTCAAACTTATTTTTCCTGGGACTGGGAATGTGGCTTCATGGTAGAGTGCTTGCCTAGCATGCTGGAAGCCCTCAGTACCACCTACACAGAAAAAAGCTGGAAGTGGTGCCGTGGCTCAAGTGGCAGAGTGCTAGCCTTAAGCAAAAACAGCTGAGGGACAGCGCCCAGGCACTGAGTTCAAGCCCCCAGGATGGGCAAAAAACAAAACAAAACAAAACTTATTATTTCCCTTGCTGGCTGTGAGTCTTGATTCTGCCTCCCAAGTGGTGAGGATGAGAGGCTTGAGCAGGCTGAAGAGTGGTTGTGACCAAAACGTGGCACCGTGAACTGGAAGCTGCTTTTCCCTCTGCCCACCGATTAGGAGAGAGCCCCTGGCCCTTTGCTTTGGCAAAGCCTAAAAGAAACAGGTTTCTTTTTCCCTTTTAAAATTCTAAGTCTGCTCCCACAGCAGAGCCCAGATGACAAGGTCCAGCCAGGATGACTGGGGCAGCTGGCAGTAGACAGACTGATTCTGTATTTAACCCTGCGTCCCCTCTGACCTTCACCCAGAAAACTCAGTCTCCAAAGCACAAGGATGAAGAGAATAAGAAGTGTTTTGTAGAGATTGAGACAGGAAAGAGCTATAGGCATGGGAACAAAGAAGCCATGGCAATGTCCTTCATACGTCACTGGGGCTTTTGACCTTGTGGCCCAGGGCATCAAGCCAACAAATCCTTCTGCCAGATGCCAAATCCAAGGCCATCCGCCCTCTTGCCTTGGAAGGTAGAAATCATTCTCCAGCCAAAAGCAGTCCTGTTTCAGGAGACTCAAAATTATCTCTAGAAAACACACTTAAATATGTTCAGAGGCCCATGTATTGGAGCTGGATTGTATTTTCCTCTGTCTTTATCTCTGCGTCTCTGTCTCTCTCTGTGCCGGTACCAAAGCTAGAACTCAAGACCTTGCCCTCTCACTCAGCATTTTCACTCCTCTCAAGGCTGGAGCTCTATTATTTGAGCCACACATTAGCTTCTGGCATTCCTTTCTCCTCCTTCTTTCTTTTTGTGATACTGGGGTTCAAACCCAGGGCCTTGAACATGCTGTACAAATGCTCTACCAATGAGCTACACTCCAAGCCTTTGATTGCTGAGGCACCATCTTTCAGTATAGCCCAGGATGGCCCTGAATCCATGATTCTCCTGCCTCTACCTCTTGAGTGCTGGGATTACAGGAATGCACCATCAAGCCTGGCAATATTTTATTCTTCTAGCCTCCTTGTCACTTGCAGACTTTATCCACGGTGCACCCCAGTCTGTTCTCCATCTCTACTGCTATCACTGTCCCTTTACTCAAGGCTGTGTCCGCCTGCAATCCATTACCAGCCTTTAACTTTACCAGTGTGGCCCAGCCTTATTGATCTGGTGTCAAACCTGTTTCTTCTTTACAAAGCCAGCAGCTGCTCTGCCTGGTCTTCCTCAGCTGTCTGTACACTACTGGGCTTCTTCAGAACACAGCCTGCCTCGGCCAACTCCATTTTGGTGTTTTGGTTCTCTGTGAGGCACTTGTTGGTGGTTTTCTATTTTTATCCCTTGGTTATTGTCTATTTTGTCCTATCAGAGAGGAAGCCCAATCAGACAGCAAAGACTGTGCTGATTTACCCTGTGCATGCAATCTCAGAGCTGAAACTTGGCTGCACACAGTAAGCACTCCACAATGGGGTGTGGACTGAAGACGGAGCAGAAAACGGATGTGTGGCTGCTTTGTGCTACAAGAACAGAATTGCACGAGTGATTTACAAAGAGAAGCAATGTGTTCCTCACAGGTCTGGAAGCTGGGAAGTGCAAGGCCAAGGGGGTGGCATCTGGTGAGGACCTACCTGCTGTGTCTGAGAAGAGAGGGGGAAGGGAGGGAGAGAGGAGGAAAGGGACAAGGAAGAGGGAGAAGGAAAGAGAGGGAGAGGGAGAATGAGGGACTAGCTTTCTGCTAGTTAATTGGAGATCAGAGTCTCAGATTTGTCTGCCTAGGCTGGCTTTGAACCATGGGTCCTCGTAGCTCAGCCTCCTGAGTAGGTAGGTTAGAGGTGTGAGCCACCAGCATTGGGCTATGGAAAACCTCCTTATGCAGAAAAAAAAAGTCATTATTCAGATAAACAAGTGACAAACCGGAGGCCAGGGGAGCCGCCAGCCACTGGTTAAAGGCAGCACTGATAGCTCCCTTGGAGACCCTGCCTGGGTGTGGATACATCTCAGCCCCATTCCGGTGCACTCTGGAGCTCTTTGCTCTTGTTTCTACACTTGGGTCTTATGGTAACACAGGATCCAGAGGCCCCGCCTCCCAGGTGCATTCTTTGGCTTGGTGAGCAGCCTGACGGAGGAATCAGGGCTGGACAAGATGTCTAGTCCTGACCCCTGAGGTTGGTGTGGGCAGTGATGAGCTTGCTCTTCCTCTGTGAGTGCCTGTTAACTATAAAACCTGGAAGCAGCTCTCTTTAGGATTGAGCTGATGATCTGTAAAATACATCTCAAATGGGTTTGTGAATTGGGAATTTATGAAGCTTTAGGAACACAGCTCCCTTGAGTTGCTGATTACAGCCCTATTATAAAGCAAAATAGGAATTTTTATTGCCTGTAACTCTGAAATACCAATAGTTTAGTTTGGGGAGTGACAGTACGATAGTGTTTGGCTGTTTAGACACCAGAGCTGGGTTGTGTAGGATACACTTCAGCTCTGCCTGTATTAACGGAGGAATCTTGTGAGTCTTCCTCTTTCTCTACTTTTCCCGGCTGTGAAATGGGAGTTGTGTTAGTCAGACATTTTGTTGCTGTAGAAAATGCCTGAGAAAACAACTTCACATGAGGAGAGGCATGGTGGCTCATACCTGTAATCCCAGCACTTGGTGAGTCCAAGGCACTGGCTATGTAACAAGACCCCGTCTCAATGAAACGACATAACCATAAAGTGGAGGAAGACTGCATGAAGTGGCTCACTGTTCAAGGCTTCGGTGCATGGTGGTTTGTGTCTGGTCTTGTGGTATGGCGGTACTTCCTGCAGAGGGAGGAGGGTACTTCCTGCAGGAGGGAGGCATCCAGGAAGCAGAGAGGAGTCAGTGGCGCCTCCTTTTCTCTCCTTATGCCAAGCACATCCCCAGCCTGCTGGGCAGGTCTCCCTCCCACAGCGAAGCCTCTCTGGAAAGACCTTGCAGACTCACTCAAGTGGGCTCCACTAATCTAGGCGCTTCTCAATCCAAGCAAGCCATCCAGACAGCCATCACACACACACACACCGTGATCCTACTTGTGGGGAAGAGATGAACAACGCTGAGATGTGCTAAGCATCTGTTCCAGTACTTGGCACTTCTTACAATTTAGCACACACAGCTTTGACCAAATGTGGTAAATAATAATAATGTATTTTAAAATATCAAAAGGAATGTCAAAAACAAAGGCTTGAATTTCCTCCGAATTCACCTTCAAACATAGAGATTTCTGGCTTGGTTTGGGAAGCTTTTTTGGTGTGCTTTTCCCAGGGACTGCACTCTGTTGCTCACTCAGTTTCCTGAATCGTTTTTACTTTTTTTGCTCTGGTCA